TTCGTGCTGAATTTTGTATCATATGATATAACTGCCAGTTGTTGTGGAGAGAGAGGATGGGAGGACAAGTTGTGAACCAGAACCCCGTCAGAAGAGGGATGCTTCGGTGGGTTAATTTTCTCGAACTTAACCGATGACTGGTCATCACGTAAATTGCGGTGATGCCGTGTAGTGCTTAGGATCGCAGCCTCGAGGGGTCCCAGCTCGTGTGCCGCAAGGATCGACCGACACCTTGAGGAGTGTTGCTCAATCATTTGTCGGTACTTGTGAATGCGATCGTGGCAATCTGCCATAATAAGTTGGCGCAGGTCAGTTTTTAGGGGCGGTCTATATCTGAGGCTTCTTGGTAGGACGTTCACATCAAGACACCAATGCAGGAATTTCAGCTGAGCGTAGGTGGATGACTCTTGTTTCACAAAAGTCTCCCATCTCCGAACAGGAGATCAGACACCACGTTCTGGTGATGAAAGCGAGCGAGCTTTTGAAATGTCGGCCAGAATACAGTCTGGTCCCAGATATCGTCTCTACTTCTTCTTCCTCTTCCGGGGATGATGTAAGGCATATTTATGATAATTTCACCACCCCTTGGATCCATTCCAAATCGCTTTCGTTTTCTGCCTCCAAATGTGCTTCCATTTGGATAATTTTCCACTTTAAATTAGGTTGTCTTCTACATTACGCATTTTCGAGGGCAAAATACGTAAAAATTTTAATTTGGAGGAAATAAAGTCGTTACTGTCTGCTTCTTCCCAAAACACAAAACTCCCGATTTTGAAAGGGTCCTCTTTGCATTCGGGTCTCTTACCAGGATAGTACCGTGGTCTCTAAATAACTTTTTAATTTTCCTCTGCAGAGTCAAGGATCATTACTAAGGGATGTCAAATCTTCTCCGTTTTGCAACCGTGACGTTGGTCTTCAAGGTCTCTGTTGATGATCTTCGCAGGTTCCTACGTTTTGGCCAACTTTTCGGTGTACTCAGAAGTCCGCTTGGTCTTATCTAGTTGATGTTCTCGTGACTTCTGTGGTCCCCTCCTCGTTTCGGTCCCGTTGTCCTCAATGCGTTCCTCTTGACTCATCCCCATTATGCCATATGACTCTTTTTCCGGGACAAGGAGTGTGACATTCATCACGGCAATGGCATATTCGGATTTTACTTGCTACCAACTGTGTGTTAGGACTTGGTCTTCTTGGCCGAAGCTTGTGTCCTTAAGCCCGCTTAGTCATCCACTGATGCTCCATGTCCTCTGTTTCATCCTGCCCACGTGCCTTCTCGCATGTTCTGACCCCTTGACCTCGTTCACTGCCTTTCCATTCGCTGACACACTGCGAGCTTTATTCCCGTGTGCTTATTCACCACGCTCTTTGTTCCTTGCATCGTGTTATTATTCACCCCCTGGTTCGTAAACTCGTGCTCCATGTAGCTTTTCCCTTATTAACTGACAGCAACGCATCTGTGTCATTCCTGACTGCTTGTCTAAACACATTGAATGTACGTCCACCCCCCCTCTTTTGATTTCTACCCCGCATTTTTTACCTATCGTGCACTGTTAACCTTACTGTTTATTTCTATATAA